AAACAGGGGGGGGGGGGGGTTCATCGTGAGATCACTGGGACATGTAGAAAGGGTTTTCAAACATAGATACTCTTTGACCAGTCAATTTTCTTCTGGGATTCTAGGAACTTATCCTAGGAATATGAGAGAATAGCTATAAAGCTTTTAATTAATCATCATTAACACATAGGCTTTATTGAAGGTTTTAATTAATCATCATTAACACATAGGCTTTATTGAGGGCTATGTGCCAGCTAACTTCCCAAGCACATTGCATATATCATTACATTTAATCTTTAAATAATGAATTACATTTTTTCAATATCCTAAGCATCTAAAATAGGAAATTTGATTAAATAATTTATGTTTTGTTGTTTAACCACACAGTGGAGTACTATTAAACAAACTTGCTCCTTATGAAGCACTATGCTAAGTGCGTCTTACAAAGACAATTTAATTCCATCTCCATAAATCAATAAGGGAGCTACTATTTCAAAGCAATTAGGAAATTCAGGCTTTGTAAGACAAGGAGGTAGAATTTGAACTCTGTCGGTCTGGCAGCTTTTAATTCTATGCTAAAATGATTTATTTTCATAGAAAGATAGCCACAAAGATAAGTAGACCAATGGACTAAAACAGACTATCCCGTAACATATCCCCTAAGCTTTTAGGGAAGCTTGATGTTGAAGTTGCCAGGAGGGAGGGGAACCCAGCAGGTGACACACTCCAGTACTTGCAAGGCTGAGGCAAGAGGTTTGCAAGGCCAGGGTAGGCTACACAGTAAATCCGTCTCGATACGTTTTGATACAAAACGTATCATAAACCACTAGGGAAACCGTCACTGGTGATAAACTGCAATCGACTTCAATGGAATAACAAGTTGTGATCGTACAGCTTTCTAAGAGTATGAAGATTACAGATGGTCCTGACTTGTGATGGTTCAACTCACAACTGTTCGACTTTATGATGGAGAGAGTGTGACCTCTAAAGAAATTGTTCCCATATACTTTTTATTTGTGTTGTTCTCTGATAAGACCCACACAATACCCTGCTTGGTGGGTCTTACCCTCTAAGCCTTGGCCGGTCTCGGCGTATGTTTCTTCATCTTCGTCTCCCACTTCCTTGACAAGTGCATTCCTTGACAAGCACTCCGGTCAAAATCACCTTCTCAAATCTGCCTACAGCCACCTGCCATTTCCTTTTGGATTTTCTTCACCTCAAATCCTGCCTCCTCCAAAAATGATCCCCGGCAGCAAAGAGCTGAAAGACGCAAGATGCACGTTCTGGGGAGAGGGTGGGGCTAGAGTGGGCGGGCCCCTGGATTCGGGGTCCATTCCGCCCACGTTCACGAAGCACTTATTACGGGAAAAAGGAACCCACGGAACGGAGGACGACAGGAAGACCCCGGGCCTCCAGGTTGAAAGTACAGGATCTGACACGGCGCCTGCACCCCACGGAACCCACGCACACCCAGCGGGGACGACTTTCCGCCGCACCTTTCGCAGCGGGAGGTCGCCACACACTGTAGGCTGGCTCGGCCGGGTCACTCCATCCTGCTCCCACAGGGCCTTCCCCAAGCCCCCAGAGTTCCTGTCTCTCCGCCGTTGCGTCCACTGGGCTCCTCGAAGACAGACGCACAACCCTCACCTCCGGCACAGAGTGCTGGAAACCCGGGAACGCCGCACCGCCTCAGGCCGGGAAAGCAGCGCGCTTGCGCGCGCAGGTCTTCGCCATCGGAGCTGCCAATCCATGCACCACCTTCACGAGGACTTCATTTCCCAGAAGTCTTGGCGGGCAGCGCGCTTTAAGATGACGTGTGTAATCTGCATAAGCGTGTACTCAGTAGTGGCGGGGCTGGAGGAGTTAAAAGCAGGCTGTGTGCCTTCTCTGAAGCACGGGGAGGAAGCAGTGATGAATCTCGGAGAGACCTGTTGTTAGCTGGAAGAGAGGCGTGGGCGGCGGAGGTGGGAGAAGGGTCCTAAAGACAGCACAAGTTCTATTTCCTGTTCGTTTCCGGCTTGCCAGCTTGCCCGATATGTTCTGAAACTCAGGCGCTAGCTTTCATTGTGAAACAAACCGGTAAAAATAACAGGATGTCTTGTTTAATCTTAGCTCGCTGGGGACATGTCATCTCCGTCAACCCGTCTGGGTCTTGAGGTCATGAACAGTTGCAAAAACAACTTCTGGTTCCAACCTGTTTCGACCGGGAACATGGCAAAATGCAGCAAGTGAAGATGAAAGGCGGTAAGGTCTCTCTTGCGAGTGTATTTGTAGTAAACCTGCTTACTATTGCTGTCTTTGCATCTTTTTGAATTCTCCTCCGTGAGGACATAAGAACCCAGAAAACCTTCATAACATCGGATCTGATTCTTAGCAGACGTAAAATGGTGTCTCCTTCACTAGAAGATTGAAGCATCTGGTACCTTGCCAACCACTTTTCATTTTATCCACTCATTTTGCAAGAGCCATACATTCTTGCCATACGTGTGTACCTTCCCTCATCAAGACTAATGATTGGGACTATTTTCTGCTTTCTGAGATATTTTGAGAATACGGAGTCTGCTCCCGCTGACTGCACTGTCCACGTAGGCTTTTCCTTCTAACTTGCTGGGACAGATACTCTCAGACTTGGGTAGTGTACTAAACTTAATGCCTTCTTCTGCATTCCTTTGGACCAGAGTTCCCAGTTTTTAATTTGCCTTTTAGTGGACCACCCCTGAGGGACCAGCCCAGCAGCGTAACTGGACTGTCTTCCCTCAAGAATACTAAGGGTCAGACTCTGGCCTTGACCTTGGGGGAATTTACACTCAGCTCTGGAACTACAATCCAATATGTGGATGACCTCCTTTGTACCACTTCAGAGGAACCAGCCAAATAAAAGGCTACATAAACTTTATAAAGTTTGTATCTCAAAAAGGATATGTAGTTTGTAGAGAAAAGGCTCAACTTACAGACAAAAGTTCAACTACTGAGGCTTCATTTTGACTCCAGGACGTCCGGCCTTGTCATTATTGTAGCTTAATCTATTTGCCTTCTCCCTGAGAGACATTAGGCCTTCCTGGGACTAACTGGATACCAGACACTATGAATCCTGGCATATGGGAAAATAGCCAAGCCACTGTATGTGAAACTAGAGGAGGGTCCTGCATGCCTTTCAAGGTTAAGGGAACTGAGAAACAATCTTTGACAGGCTTAAAAAAGCCCTCATGGAGGCCCCAGCACTGTAATTCCCAAGAGGAATAGGCTTTTTTTTTTTTTTTTTTTTTTTTTTAGATAGTTGAGACAGGGTCTTTCTGTAGCCCCAGTTGGCCTGGTACTCTCCCAAAGAGAAAAGGGTTTTTTTTTTTTTTTTTTTTTTTTTAGATAGGGTCTCCTTGTAGCCCCAGCTGTCTGCGAACTCACTATGTAGACCAGGCTGGCCTCGAACGCACAAAGATCCACCTGCCTCTGCTTCCCAAGTGTTGGGATTAAAGGCGTGTGCCACCACGCCTGGCTAAAAGCTTTTTTAATTGTACTAAAAAGTGGGATTGCTCAGAGTAGTCACTAAGCCATTGTAACCTCACAGTTTATAGCATACCTATCTAAACAACTGAACCCAGTCACCTAAGATGGCCCCGTACCTCCAGGGACTCACAGCAACTTCTGCTGGCTAAGGAGCCTTCAAAATTACTTCTCTACCTCCTGCCACCTACCTAGGATCTTGGGGATCTCTTTGGGGATCAAGTGGACTCCTCCAATATCAGTCCCTTTTCATAGAAAATCCCAAAATTACCCTTCAAAGATGTACATTTTTTCCAAACTCAGCCATCTTTGTACTGCTGCTGGAGAACAAATCACACTGTCTTTGATACTGTTTATGGGTTCTTTCATTTACTGAGTTCCCATAGCCCAGTCTTCATCAAACTATAGAACTGACTGCATTTGTTTTATAGATGGAATTTCTTTTGTATTAGAAGGGAAATGCAGAATGGGTTATGTTGTCTTATCTTAAGAGCACTATCAAAGTGAAATTTCTCCCACAGGGGATCTCTCCCCAACTGACTGAGATTATAGCCTGACCTGAGCACTAGAATTGACAGAAAAAAAGGTAAATTCATATGCCAACTAAATGTACACCTTCCTGGTGTTACATGCCCACACTTAGAAGAAAAGGATTATTGAACTCCAAGAACAAGCCCATCAACTGTGCACCACAGATTCTTTCATCCTGCTGTCCCCAAACCCTCCAGGGTTGTAGTGTCCATTACAGAGGACACCAAAAGGATTTGACTTGTTTGTCAGAATAGATTAGCTCTCTAGACTGCCAAGGTTGAAGTCCAGACCCCCAGTGTTTTGTTGACCTTTCTTCCTTCTGTCAATCTGATCTTTTATAAGCCTCAGTTCTGCCCCTGAAGAAGTAAAGAAGGCAATGGCAAAGGGTTTCTCTTTAATCCTGAAGAATAACTGTATAGGAAAGACTTCACCTATGCTTCCCAAAGCACCTGGTGGAAGCTCACAGGGAGCTCCATTATACTTGCCTTTTTGGTAGGACAAAGCCAGAAGAAACATGCAATCACCATTTCTCAGGAGAAGGACTCTCAGGGATCGAAGGTAACCAGGGGCTGCTTGGTATGCCTTCAATAAACCTAATCTCAGAAAACCTCCTCCTCTTGTAACTCACAGACATGGTAGCTGTCCTGAGGAAGATTGGCAGATGTATCTTGCCTGCCAAGTCTTCAAATACCTATTGTTCTTCGTGGATACTTTGACTGGATGAACTGAGCCTTTCCAGCCCACACTGAAAAGACTTCAGAAGTAGCTAAAAGGGACTGAAGAGATGGCTCAGGTTAAGAGTGCTTGCCGTTCTTCCAGACGACCCACATATAAATTAAAAAAAAAAATTTATGTGTGAGTGTATTGCATGCATGTATGTAAGTGCACCCTTGTCATCCAAGGAGGCCAGAAAAGGGTGTCGAATTCCCTTGGAACTGGAGTTAATGTTAGCTGCCACATGGGTCCTCTGCAAGAGCAGCCAGTGCTCTTAACTGCTGAACCCTCTTTCTAGCCCCAAATTTTAAAAAATGTTTTTGAAAAAAAGGAAGTAGCAGAAGCACTGTCAGAAGAAATTCCCCACAGGGAGCTGGAGAAGTGACTCAGCACTTGCAGATGATCCAGGTTGGGGTCCTAGAACCCACATCAGGTGGCTTACAACCTCCTTTAACTCCAGTGCCTACACCTACACACACATGGTTAGTTAAGAGAAATAATTTTAAAAAGGTTGTTTTTGAAATTATCCCGCATTCTGGATTCTCCCAGAATCTTCAAAGTGATAAAGGGCCGATATTAACGGCCAAGTGTTCCAGACCAAGATTAAGGCATTATATATTAACTATTTACATTCTGTTTGGCAGTGGAAGTCTTTAAGAAAGGGGGAAGCCTTAAAGAATATGCTGAAAAAATTAATGAAGAAAACTTCCTTATCTGGGTAAAAGTTATATAGCTTTGCTTTGGGTCAGCCTGACTCCAACTTCTCATATAAAGCAGAACCTTTTATAATACCTTTATGAAAAGGTCGTCTTAACTAATGACCTTATGACTGAAGTAGAAAATCAACAGTCACTCAAATTTGTTAGCTCCTTAGGACAGTATCAGTACCTCTTGGAGGCTTATGGAATCAAATGTCTGGGCTGATCCCAGAAAGTCCCCTGCCTTTTCAATTCTTGAACTCAGGTCCTCATTAAATTCTATAAGGTCTGTTCTTCCTCACTAACTCCTTTTCAGAAAGGACTCTGTCCTGTAACAGATTCACTGTAATGTCACAGCTGTCAAGGTCCAGGAATACCCAGCTGAATCCATCATTCTGGAATCAAGCTATGGTCTGACCAGGGAACACCTGATTTCCAGGAGTCACCCCTCTCAGTATACTTTTGTGACTGTCATAGTTATTGAATACTTATTTAAGAAAATGTAAGATAAATAGATGCTTTTAACCCCTCTATCCTGTCTTCTCTTTAACCCTTCGTACAACATCAGTTTTGGAATTCTCTTTTCTTGGGCTTAATCATTTTATTCTCTTTTATTTTGGACTGATTTTTTTCTATGATGACCCCAATATAAAGAAACTTGCATCTGAGCATCACTTTTTCAGGGTAGCCTTATAATTTCTGCATATTATTTTTGGCCTACAATTAACCAAGAAATGCCCCTTTTGTTATTACCATGACAGCCTTCCTTACCTTATCAGAACACCCTTATGTAAAAATGTTACAAGAGCCAGGAAGATGGTTCAGTAGGTAGGTAAAAGTGCATGCTGTCAAGTCAGATGACCTGAGTTTGATCTCCAGGATCTGCATGGCAGAAGGGGAGAATTAACCCCTGCAGGTTGTCCTCGAACTTTACACATGTGCCATGACATGCACATGCCCACATACATACACACAGGCAGACACATATTTAAAAGGGGATGGGAAAGACGGTTCAGTGGTTAAGAACATTTCCTGCTCTTCTGGAAGAGCTGGATTCCTAGCACTCACATCATGCAGCTCATTACCATCTGTAACTCTAGCTCCAGGGGATCTGACATCCTCTTCTGGTCTTCCCTCCTCAGACACCAGCACACACATGGCATGCACTCACACAGAACACATTAAAAAATCACAAGCTGCCCAACACTTCAACATATTAATTCTTATGCTACTCTCTGTTGGTTGTGTGTAAATTCTGATCCTGAAGAATGAGGGGTGGCCTACCTGGCAGAGCCATATGCCTGTGCCTTACTCCAGCAGCTTTATATG